CCACTCAGGAATCTCCAAGCTGTCTGTGCCATCAGGATCGCTGCCAGACCACAGCTCCATATGTCTCCTTTTTTGGTGTTTTCATGTAAATTCTTCTGCTAGTTGGAGTTTAATATACTTCTATATCCTTCCCTTCAAGGCTCAGGGGTCAGGATTATCTTCTGTATCTGTGTTAATTGGTTCCGCTTTTCTTTGTTGGTCTATGTAGTCTTTCTGCCTATTCCACTATCTACCAGAACTCCTTTTTTTTTTTTTTTTACAATCTTGAGACAGAATCTCATAAGCCCATTTAGCTCATAGTTAGAAATTCCTTGGGGGAAAATCTAGGATATAGATTAGAATAAGCTAGGTTTGAAACTTTTCCTAAGACACACTATTAGGATGCCTGGAAATTTAAATATTTGTACAATAAGAGGCAGAGATTTTTATTTCATAGCATTACAAGCTGTTTATATACTGATCACCAAATTGATGTGTATCTACAGTCCAGACCTCTTTCTTGGACTCCTGATTCATATATCTGCCTACTGGACCTCTCCATTTACATGTGTAATAGATCTTAACATATCTAAAACTGAACCCCTGACCTCCCTCTCTTGATCTCTCCTGCCCAAGTCCTCATCTATTCTCAATTGATGACATTGTCATGTTTCTAGTTGTTCAGGCCAAAAACAGATTATCCTGGATCGTCTCATTCTCACTTCCCACATTTCAGTACATCAGCAAATCCTCTTGAAAATATGTCCTCTTTCACCACCCCCACTGCTACCATGGTATACAAACCTCTTCTGTCTCTTGGTTGGATTACTGTACTAGTGTTCTAAGTAATTTTTCAATTTCCACCCTGACTTCCTTATCCAGCACTCTACCAGCAGCCAGAGATAGCATTCTAAAAATTAGGTAGATCTTATCTTTCCTCTACCTCATTTCTCAAAGAAAAAAGCCAGAGTTTAGAGTAGGCCTTGTGAATCACATGATCTGATTCCTATTAATTATCTTTCTACTACTTTTCTGCTTGCTCTTCATGCTTCAGCCACACTGGCCTTATTGCTATTCCACCAACACACCAGGCACACTCCAGCCTTAGTGCCTTCGTGTTGCCATTCCCTTTGGCTGATTGTAGCTTGCTTCCTCTACTCCTGTAAGACTTGCTCAAATGTCATTTTCCCAGTGAGATTATCACTAACCTTTTTAAAAGTGCAATTTTACACCCTTCTTCCAAAGCTTGATTTCTCTTTCTTACATTGATCTGTTTTCTAAGTATTCAACATACTTACTGTGTGATCATGTTTATTGATTACTCTTTTCCCCACTACAGTGTAACTCCATGAGGACAGGGCATGCATTTTTAATTGCTTTATTTAGATATGCCTCAGCGTCTAGAATAAGGCCTGGTGCATAGTAGAAGATGACTAAAGTTTTCTAAAATGAATGAATCCAACTAAACAACGATACGTCATCTATTTTTAGTGGGGAAAGCTGTCTTTCCAGAAGTCACATACTGCCTTTATTGTCAGAGGATACCAAAGTAGTAGACAAAGCCAAGTGAACAACATGAATTATTATAGCTGTTAGCTATTAGAGTTTTTAACTAAATGGTGTGAGTTTTTGTCAAAGCTGTTAATTTGGCAGTGTGAGCAGACTTTACATGAGAAAATCGGGACTCATTTACTATTTTACTAGGTGTTATTACAGCACCATCTATTTCAAGGTTACCTTGCCTGTCTCTTTACCAGAAACCATTATGAACATGATAAAGTCAGAATTAAGAAGAGGGAAGAAGGTCTGGACAGCATAGACAAATAGGAAGTCATGTGTTTATCCATCTTGGGAAATAGGGAAGTGGAACAATTAGGTTTAGGGCAATGCCTTGAAAATTGGTGATGTAAGAACTGACAGAAGAATTTTTAATTGGTGATTCAGATATTGAACAGATGCTGAACCACAGATTTAATTTATGGGGATAAAAGTGTTCAAGGATATATTTGGTATGGCAGTAGTAGCAAAGTCTCTTCCAACCAGGAAATAGAAGAAACTACCATGGTGCTTAGGTCTGTATGTGTGAGATGGGTTAAATTTATCACCTGACTTCTTCTGGAAATCCTAACAGAACCTAAGGACTTAATTTATTTTTAGGTGCCGTGGAGTTGATTTTGACTCACAGCGACCCCATGAGACAGGGTAGAACTGCTCCAGAGGGTTTTCTTGGCTGTAATCTTCACAGGAGTAGATCACCAGGGCTTCTCCTGTGGAATTGCTGGATGGGTTCAAGATGAGACATTTTGGAGCAAGCTGAGCCCTTAACCACTGTGCCAGCAAGCCTCCTCAGGAACGTCATAGGTCTTGGTGAAAACCAGTTGTTAGTAAAGTATGACATTGGAATGATGGGGAAACAAAGCTTTAATACATTAATTTAAAAATTAAGGTTATAGATGATAGAAAAACCTTTAACTCAGACATCCTTTATCTAGATTGAGGCTAAGGTTACTTCTAACAGATATGTATGTACTCTATCTCATCATTAGAAAAAAATCCTGGTTAGTTTATCAAAACTTTTTACATACTAATTGGTTGCTCTGGTGGTGTAGTGCCTAAGGCATTTGCCTGCTAACCAGAAGGCTGGCAGTTGAAACCCAGCAGCCACTCCTCAGAAGGAAGACTGGGCAGTCTATTTCTATAGTGATACTGCCTCAGAAACCCAAGGAGGGGTCGCTATGAGTTTGGTTTTCATTTATCTGAAGCTACACTTGGCTCCCAGTGTATGTGAGTGGCTTGAAGTCCTTTGTTAGTCAGAAAACCATCAAACTTTTGGTGCTTCTCAATACAGGCTTCTAACAGATTCATTTCCTAAAAACAAGAAAAATGTATGTTCTTTTCTTACTAAGTAATCAAGCTTGCCTTGCCAGTGCTTGATAATCATTGATAGAACTAGAGTTCATCCAAGAAAGAGAGAGACTTCAAAGGCAGATGATCTAAAGTCCTGGTGGCTTATCTGCCTATAGTTTCTGATGCTAGAATTACCCACAAGTTCTTTGTGTGATTTGTACAGTAGAAGGCTGTCTCTTAATTACTTCTATGCATTTATTCATTGGCCATTCTAAGCCTATGATTGATTCTCCAGAAATGATTATGCAAGGGAGGCATATAAAGTCAGTGCCCTGAACTTTAAGCAGCTGGTAAATTCTGGTATTGGCTACATCTATGATAACCTTGAATGAGTTTAGTGGAAGAGCAGTCTCTGTTCTCAATTTTTTTTTTCCTTACTATCTCTTTTACTTTTATTTTTTTGAAATAGATGGTGCAGTTGTATCTTTTTAAGAAGGGCTGATTTATTAGAAGACAATGATATTGTCATGTTGTCATAAACATTTAGCGTGGTGTATTTCTGTAACCCCAAAGTTGTGATTATCTTCTAGGTTCTATAATTAGAAACTATTCTATAATTATCTCCCTGATACCACCATCCTTCCACCAACATTTCTTCTAGGATCTTCTCAGTATCCTTAGGTCTATTTGGAAAAAATAAAAAGTTAAGAGATATGTGAGAATACAACCTTAGATAAAGAGTTCTTAATTATGTGTAAATGGATATACTTATTACATATTTTTACATACTAGTTATACGTCTTTAATAGATTTAAATTTTTTATTAAGTTTGAGTGCAAATTTAAATGTTTATAAACTATGTGTTGAATAAAGAATAATGACACAATGAACACCATTAAACATACTGCCTGATTTATGAAAGAGAACAGTACAAAATTAAAACGCAGTCTCATTCCTTTCCATCTCCCATAAAACTTGTATTTTATGTTTATAATTTCCTTGATTTTCTTTAAAGTGTTGACCCCATTTATTTTTATTCCTAACAATATAGTTTGATTTTGTATGGCTGATGGGAGAAAGGAGTTGTTGTTGTTATGTGCTGTTGAGTCGTCTCTCACTCATAGTGAACCCCTCCTTGGGTTTCTGAGGCAGTATCACTACGGAAGTAGTTCACCCAATCTTCCTTTTGAGGAGTGGCTGGTGGATTTGAACCACCAACCTCTGGTGAGCAGTCAAGTGCCTTAGGCACTATGCCACCAGAGCTCCCATGGGAGAAACAAGTTGTTGTTGTTGTTGTTATGTGCCGTCGAGTCAGCCCGACTCATAGCGACCCCTTCTTGGGTTTCCGAGGCAGTATCACTACAGAAGTAGGATTGCCCAACCTTCCTTCCGAGGAGTGGCTGGTGGGTTTGAACTGCCAGCCTTCTGGTTAGCAGTCAAGTGCTTTAGCCACTATGCTACCAGAGTTCCTGGAGAAACAAGTAGTGGGTTTATTTTCCCTATATTGTTAACATTGGAGGAGAGGGGGTAAACCTCCACTTAGATTCCCCAACTTAGGTAGATCCAGTCTTTATCTCTGTCCCCAACCCCCACCCATGCCCTACAAGACCATGAAATTGAAAAACTCTCATTCCCAAAGTACAGTGCAGACCATCATGGTAAAAGCTGGCCTCAGGGCTCTGCCTACCTCTTGGAGTTCTCTCAGTCTTCCTTTGTTTTTCACTTCTTATTAGTCCTTTCTTGCTTTTGAATATTTTGGTTTTCATATTTTAATGATCATTTTTTAAAATTTTTATCCAAATATACTTTTGGGAAACCTGGCTATCCTTCTGGAAATGGAAGAGCCTATATTCTAGTTTTCATTTTTACAATATTCATATAATTCTCTTCTGCTTTCTTTTCATATGCACAGAGCTATATGGTCCTGGAAGAAATTCATTTTGATTGTCTGTCAGTTACTTTTATACTTAATTTTTTTTTAGCCTCTCTCTTTTTGAACAACTGCATAGTAATTTGACAAAATGTATGTAAACAGCTGATTACATTACTTGACTTTTTGGAAATTATCTTCTCATTGGGATGCACCTGGGCATGAAGAAATATAAATACATTTAAGAATTAACTTGTTTAGAGTTTGTGTGTGTGTTTACATATGTGTATATATTTTTTCCTAGGCTGCTGCACTGAATAATAAAGATTCCAGACAGAATTTCTTGACACTGGTTCATGGATATGCTTATAGTGGTGTGGAAACTTTGGGAAAGGAGCTCTTTATGTACTTTGGGCCAAAAGCTTTAAGGTAAGATAAACCTGTACAATACATCTTATCTCTCTGTGTTTAAGGATGTGTTGAAGGCTTTTCTTGCAGTCTGTTGAGTGTCACATTTAATCATGTGGAAAGTGCTCTGTTTTTAAGAGAGCTCTAATAAGAGGTTGGATTCTATCATAGAAAGCAATAAGCAGAAGAAGAATAAATTGTGATGTCATCGTTACTTGGAGGACTAGTAAATTTATTTCTTTTTTAAAGAATGATAGGCTTTTGGGGCTTCCCAAGATGTATTAGAGCAACAGATCTCTGTTTTGCTATTCCCCAAACTCCCTGCACTGCTATTCTTTTCTCTTGTTTCCACCAAATGTTTATTGCATTCAGTGACATCAGTTTCTTTATCTTTCTGACAGCTCCTACTTTGGTTTAAATGTATCACTAGATTTTTTTTTTTTCTGTCTTCTTTTTTCCCTCTGAAACCTGAACAGAATTTGAAACTTATTTATAGAACTCAAAAACTTTCCCTAGAAAAGCATGTTCTCCATTTTTTTTCAGCTTTTATGGAAATTCATGGATAATATGTTGGGCAAAGAAAGGCAACAAAGATGTTGAAATTTATGTACTTTCCAGAGCATATTCACCTATTTATTTTTTGCCAGAAAACGAAAAAGGTCTCTGAGTGAATATGTCTATCAAACCTTAGTCTGTTTTTTTCTGAGTTTAGCCTAAGTTATGATAAGCTATAAAGATTGATATTGCTTCTTTGAATCTGTTTTTTATGTTTCTGTAAGATACTGAACACTTACCACCCATTTACAAGTGAAGTCCTATTACTGGACCTAATTCTTCTAACGGAAGGTAAATAGCCTCTAGGAGCTAATGTGACTACGGGATTGTTGTCTATTGCATTTCATATACACATATTTAGAATACTTCAGGGTTTATGTAATTGCTTTTCCTTTGAGGTGTTCTCTCATTGTCAGCAGCTGCTGTCCTTGGACAACATTGTCACTTCATGGTTTTTCTTCCTCTGGAATTGATAACATCAGCATGTGCCTACTGGTTCATGCAGTAATGATGTATTGCAGGTTACATTATTGCTGTAGTAAATTGATGTGATTGAAAACTCTTAGCTATAAACAGAGTAGTACACAATGGAATCCATGCAAGATAGCTGAAAACATTGATATGTTATTGATTTTCTGGTGTTAGGAGCAGATTTATTTCTGTAGGATGAGAGGGAAGTGTTTATCAAGTACTATCCAGCAGACTGATAAGGAGGAATCATTTCTCAGTGCTGGACGGTCAGTAAGTGTTCCATGAAGTTCTAAACAAGGGCAATCGTTTCTTCAAACTAAGTGAACTAGTACAATCCCTAGAGTGTAGGTATCTTGGTAAATGGGTGGGAGAAAATGCAGTGGCTTGCTTCCTTTCAATTTCGGTAGCCTTAATGACTCTTGGATGTAGCAGTTCAAGGTCAGTGGCAAATCAGCTGTTTGAATCTGAACTAAGCAATCTAAAATCAACTGTATCCTCTCTCACAATTTAACATGAGTTTAAAAAATGTACTCCCAACCTGTGCTTCTTAGAATGGATGACTCTGTCACAGTACTGTGATCTAGTATGAAGCTGCAGGTTTGTGAGCATGAGATAGAAATGTAGAGTGTTCATTTTTTACCTTTTTTCTATCCACCATGCTGGTCTACCTTTCAGAGAACAAATAGCAGGAAACTTGCTTAATGATAGCTTACAGTTTTCCCCTTAATACCCAGCTTTCCACAATGAAAACTGCCCACAGGATTTTAGTCATACTACGTGTGTATCGGGAGTTCTGGTAGCATAGTGCCTGAGGCACTCGACTGCTAACCAGAAGGCTGGCGGTTCAAACCCACCAGCCACTCCTCGGAAGGAAGATGGGGCAATCTACTTCCCTAGTGATACTGCTTCGGAAACCCAAGGAGGGGTCGCTATGTGTTGGGTCTGACTCGATGGCACATAACAACAACAAGAAGCATGTGTATCTCATGGGGCAGGCCATGAATCTTCCTGGAATTCATTTGATTAGGAAAGTAGAATACAGGTGTTACCCTTTTTAAGTGAAGCTGCCAGTTAAAAACCTCAACTCCAGAACGATGCAAATTAGAGTGATAATTTTAATTATTAAAGGATTTATTAAAGTGCTCATAGTACCCTAGTATACTAAGAATTATTTTATATATGTTTACTTAGGAGCACAGCTTTTAATATCTCTACTACTTCTGAACAGAAGCTTTTCATCTAAAAAAAAAAATCATTTTCTTTTTTTTTTTGATGTAAATGTATCAAATGCTCACTAGAGAAAATTGAGAATGAACACATAAGAATAAAATAATGCATTCACAATCTCATTACCAAATATAGTATCAGTTAATTTTGGAGGCATAGGTTGCCAGTCTTGTGTTTGCATATATCTACATATCTAGTCTGGAAGGAAAGTTGGACTATCTACTTCCATAGTGATAAGACACTTGCCTGCTAACCAAGAC